AGCCCAACAAACAATTTTAGCTGCAGCTTAGCTTATACAGGCAAAAATTAGCTGCATAAGGCAAATTTTGGCTGTATAAGCTAATCTGCAGCTAAAATTGTTTGTTGGGAGGCCATTCAGACGGGGAACCGGCTGATGGTCCAATTTTTGATTATTCTTTCCTGTGTTAAATTTAAAAATTATATGAATAACAACAATATTGCATTAAAAACAATAAACATGCATATTAACTACCGGTATTTAGAGGTGGGATGCGGACTTTGATGTCTTCCACCGTTGCCTCCACACCGTTTTCCTGGAGAGCCAGCTTCATCTCCTGGAACACATGGTTGATATTGAACCTACTACCAGTTGATTTATTTCATGCAGCTGGAGATCCAAAGCCAAACTGCGGGATGCTCACTATGCCCCACCTGTTCACTATGCCCCTCCTCCCCCTAATACCTTTTTAATGTCGATGCAATCCTTACATGTGTAATACATACGAGAAAGAATTTCTTTCGCTTGTTCAAGAAAAGGCCAATGGCATGAGTTTTCCGTTATCGCTCCACGATATGGCTGTTTGAACAATGAAAATCTAAGGTTTAAGTTTAAGAAAATGATGATTTATGAAAAAGCATACCTTCGCAGGGTTATTGGTATTCCTGCAGTTGAATGTGTCGAAAAGTTTATCATAAAAACGAGCACAAGCAGCAGTTCTCAAAGTGGCCAACGGCAGATCTTCAGAATTGACGTAATATTCGATACCTGTTGCAACTGAATTACTCAAAGTACGCGTTGCCTGCGCAACGTTCATTGCTAGAAATGGAGCTTGATTTATGAACTTTTCTTTTAATTTCGGAACAAGTCTCGGAGTCGATGAATGGTCATTGTCGTAGAGCTGTTTAATATGCTTGAATGAGCATATTGCTCCATTGAAAACAGCATTATGCTTTGTAAGCATGCTTTTTGCATTTTTTAAAAGGTGCGGGCTGTCAAACATGATAACCATTTCTTGTCCACATATGTTGACAATAGGATTATCTTTAGATGCACCAGCCTCTTGAGACATTTTAACATTGGTTGTACATTGGTCCATGGCTAGTGCCAATGGATATAGTCCTCGAATCTGCAAGGCGGTGATCACGTCTTCTACCATACATAGCTGAGCGTCACTCCCTAGAGTATGATGTGCTAAAACGTATCCTGCAGAAAATATAATAAAATTTAGGGGTTTTTTTCAGAGTTGGTTGGAAATGCTAACATGAAGCTTTAGTGTGATGATTTATTAGCTAAAGAATGATCTTTAGAAGAGGGTAGGTGGATAGATCCGTTAGAGTACGGCAGTATGAAAATTGAATAGAAGTTGAAAATGAGCGAAGGGCCATTAATGCGACAGTTTTTAAAGATAGACGCACATTTTTGCCTAACCCGTACGATGTACGCGGGGACTTGAAGTATGTCTCCAAGTCCACAGGCAAAAATGCGAGCAAAAATGTGCGTCCCTCTTTTTGCTCATAAACTGACTGCGGCTGTGGAATAGTTCTAGCGACGTTTCCATCACTACCTAAAGCCCCACGTTGCGAGAGCATTTCCAGTCCATGGTGTGTTATAATGCAGTTCTTCTTTACCCAACTATTGTGTTGCTCCTCTCGTCATGACCAACGTGATCTTCTCAAAGAGAAAGCAGTAGGGTGGACAACCACCTTCAGTGTGATATTTAGTATTCAATTCATTCGAGCAGCACGACTGAACCCATAGAGCACACCTGGAAATGCAAACTGTTATTTTTGTTTTATTATTTTATAAACAAATTGCTCACCTTTTAGCATTGCGAGGAAAACAGTAAAATGATTTTCCAATATTTTTACCTTGACGAACAATAATTCATTTCCCATTTTCGACCCATGCTGCTTTTTGCTCTGCGTTTCAAACACACGCACACAAGTGTACGATAGAAAACAATTTGCAAAACGTCAAAAATTGCAATCATGCGCGCCACGGGTGGCTGTAGTGCCAACTATTCGTATTTAATATAGCCGTTAAATGGGTATACGATAATATACATGATGAGTGTTATGTCTGTTTGTCTGTGATTCAATTTAAAATGGATAAGGTTACTTTATAAAGAGGATGGCTCGGCCATTCACTGGTTCGTCTCTGGAGATTCAATTTAAAATCAACAAACAAAACTCAAATTCAAATTATCAAACAAATCGACTTCTTCATTGATAATAAAACCACAGACAAACAGACATAACACATTGAATATTTCTCTCTGTAAAACATCGTCGCTAAAATATTACCGCCATCTGTTGAATACACTGTGGTGGGTAGTACGCTGAACAGATGGCGGTAGTGTGCAAACGTCAAACGCAAGGGAATTGACTATGCGCGCCACAGGTGGCGGTGCTACCAACTACGATACTTTTAAATGGACCGTTTAATGCTTGTTCGATGAACAACTTGCGAGTGTTATGTCTGTTTGTCTGTGATAAAACATTGCTTATTTAGTGGATGATAAAAATTTAACCAACAAACGAAATTCAGTCTGCATTGTCAGCTTTAAAGGATTCCAGAAACATAGCACTCATGGCGGTAAGCTCCAACTCGGATTAACTTTTAATACCGTCCCTGTTTGTATGATCTGAAAAATGTTTGCTCAGAATTATGTTGATTAACTCTGATGTCGACATCAAACCAGCCGGACATTCTTGATCGGGATTTAATCCGAGGATAATACCGGTTGGAGCTTACCACCATCAATCGGTTAACCGATTGTCTTCCCGCATAAACGCGAACCATCACATGACCTTACCGATAATGGTTATAAATTGTTTATAATCCCTGCTAAACTTCAACTGAAATGGTTATGGAACTTTACATGAACGTTTGTGTGATAAAGTTTTAACCTTATGTATTATGGTTTTTTGGAAGCGGACCTTACAAATAATGGGTTGTTAAGAACCATTACCATTCCAAATTCTTGTTTTCTCCATTCATTATCGGAAAGAGAACTATATTAGAACGTTTTTACTTATGGTTTGAGAATATTAATGGTTATGGTTATGGTAGTCAGTAAGGTCCATTAATGGTTTTGTATTATCGCTCAACTTTACGTGAAATATATCGTGAATTGGTAATCAGTAATTTGCAGGCAACCAATTCGCGATATATTCCACATAAAGTTGATCGATGTTACAAAACCATTCATGGACCTTACTGGTTACCATAACCATAACCATTAATGTTCTCAAACCATAAGTTAAAAGGTTTTAGTATAGTTTTCTTTCCGAAAATGTATGGAGAAAACAAGAATTTTGAATGGTAATGGTTCTTAACAACCCATTATTTGTAAGGTCCACTTCCAAAAAACTATAATACTTAAGGTTAAAACTTTATCATTAAACGTTAATGTAAAGTTCCATAACCATTTCAGTTGAAGTTTGGCAGGGATTATAAACAATTTATAACCATTTTAGGTAAGGTCAATTTATGGTTCGCGCTTATGCGGGTTGTGCTATGTTTCATACATTTGAAGCTAACAATATCAACAAAATCTTTGGTTTTATGTAGTTGTATGGTGAAACTGGCGCATGAAAAGCATTAAAAAAAAGCACTTGTGCCATAGAGGTAACTCTAAGACAAGTAGGTCCCGAAGAAACGTGCTCAACTTTTTGGCTCACCTCTGGTACTATCTTCGGTCCCAAGCTTGTCGAATCACCCCTCGAAACATAGGTAAAACCAATAACCCCTCATTTTATCTGTCAAACTTTCATAGCGAATCAAAACAAACATTGCGTAGTACTAGAATTTCGACTAGAATAGGGTACGTTAATCGTTTGCTTGGGACCAATAGGCTACTAAAGTGGTGAGCCAATTTAAAATCGTTAGTTTCGTATTGATTGTTGCTTGTGCTGAGGTGACTACACAGTTTAGCAGTTCCCCCAGAATGTTAATGCAATACTCGAGGAATGACTCATCACCTTTAGCGATGATATGTGGTGCAACAGATGCACCTTGCTCAACCTTATACGCAACGTATCTTGCAAGTTGCTCGGCCAGGGAAGATTCTGTATCCTAGAAGTGCAGTAAAAGTTTAAAAAATATATATGACGATTTATACTTCCACGCTGCGCTTGCCTCTGCGTTTTTAAACATGGCGTCACTTTGTACTGAATCAGTAATGAATAATTTTTACTCATTTTTATTCCAGAAAATGTTTTCAAAACAGGGGAAAAAGTACCCATTTTTCAATGTTACGAAAATAATCAATTTTTGACATTTTAGAACCAGTTCAAAAAATGAATACAAGATACTCACTTAATGGGTACTCTGGAGTTAGTGTGCATGGGGATTCACCAAACACCATGCATACACGCTATTTCAAAACTACCCAAATTTGGGTAGAATCCACCCAGATCCGTCAAAACTGAACCTACCCAAAAATGGGTAAACTGTGTTGGGAGTGACAAGTTGACAAATGGACAACGTCGATCGTATTGATGTCAATGTTGTTCATTTGTCAACTTGTCACTCTCAACATAGTTTACCCATTTTTGGGTAGGTTCAGTTTTGACCGATCTGGGTGCATTCTACCCAAATTTGGGTAGAATCCACCCAGATCGGTCAAAACTGAACCTACCCAAAAATGGGTAAACTGTGTTGGGACTGACAAGTTGACAAATGAACAATGTCGATCGGATTCATGTCGATGTTGTTCATTTGTCAACTTGTCACTTCCAACACAGTTTACCCATTTTTGGGTAGGTTCAGTTTTGACCGATCTGGGTGGATTCCACCCAAATTTGGGTAGTTTTGAAATAGCGTGTACAGTGTTCCTTCCATCCCGTACTCTGGCAACCCTTCTTCAAGTTGTCAACAAGACAAGGTAGCTTGTCATTAATGTGGCAGTTATAAATTTTCTTGTAGAAGTCAACAAAAGCGGTTATTTATTTGAAGCAACCGGTTCTTTACAGCGCGACTGATGCAACTTCGGAAAAAGCGAAGCGAAAGACGAATAGTGCAAATCAGTGGAGAATATTATGTTGGTTTATTTTCGAAAAAAAAAGATACTTGGTGAATTATAGGCAAAGAATTAACAATATCGATTGTTGTTATCAGTTGAATGTTGAAGATTTTGCTCCGGGATTGGCAGGTAGTGCATAAAACGAATAGGTAAACATGAGCTCGCGTCACAAACGATCATCGGTAAGTCCGTTACAAAACATTGGTCGAGTGAAAAGGGCGATTGAAAAATAAACGGTTCCGTTTTACAGATCTTGAAAAAACGGCCCTCGGTTGATCCGGGTAGTCTGGAAGCTAGTCCATCGGAAGCGACCATAACGACTAAGGCAACAAAACGGATCGGTTTCAAACCGAAAAAATCCGTCAAGTGAGTTGTTTACTTTTTGGCGGTTTAGATTTGAGCTGAGTGTTTTTTTTTATTGCAGAGAATTTTTTGCATCAGATGAAACAGCTACGATTTGGTGTAATTCGTATGAGTTATCTGCGGATGTTACGCCACCGTGTCTGGTTATTAACGACGATACGACGTTGAAAAATGCGTCTGAGATGGGTGTTTGTCTGCCGAAGCCGATGGAAAGAGGCCAGGGGAACAAAGAGAATTTATCGGCGGTTGAGGATCGTCGAAATAGCTGTAGCGAAAGCAGTATTTGGGACCTATCTATATCAGCCCATGAAGACGAGAAGCGGCGAGTAAAATTGGAGAATTCTATCAATTCTAGTGTTTTGAACATGACCGAACGACTTGTACAGGAACCGATTCCTCAGAGCAGGCAAGTTTTACGACAGAAGCAAGAGGGACCTTTTGAGGCTTCCAGTGCAATGGATATAAGTCCAGCTAAAGTAGATGGAAAAATGAATTCCCCCAAGAAAATACTCTATCATCATCCGAAGCAGAAAATGTTCGTGTCGATCGATGTGAAAAACGAAAAACAACTGACGCAGCATTTAGATGATTCGGAAATTAATTTCTTTGGCCCACAGGAAAGTCAAGCTGTGACTAAAATCACGGGAGCATCTAAAATCCTTTTCCAAACATCTAATACTCCCAATGAAAGGCGAAACAAATCGATTCAGACTGAACAGCGTCCTTCGACCGTCGATTTGCGGTCAACCCTTGTTAATGCTGATTTGTCTGCAAATTGGAATTCACACGTTGCGGCTTCGGAACCATTCAGTCAACATTTGACGTTTGGAAACAGTCAGTTTGAAATTTCGGAAGCCTGGAATTCTCATCCGGCTGCGGCGTTGAGGCTTAAAATGTTCCAGCAAGGGTTGAAATCGGCGGATTTCGATTCGCGTCTATCAGATGATGGAGGAGGAGAATGCACCGAAGACGTGGATACAACACTTGCCATCACACAGACGGTTGCGAAAATGCTGGCACCAGGTTCGAGGCCAGTTTCGTTGGATAACACTCGACTTGCAGAGCCGGAAAATATGGATATTACGAAACGAAGGGTGAGTTGATTTCGGATAGCACTTTTGAATCGTCACTAGTTGTTAATTGTTTTTGGTACAGGAAAGTCATGGCGGAGAAGCAGAGATGGAAACATCTGCCCACATGGATGTAGCCGAAGATGCATCTGTTAGCGACGTACTCATTCCGGTCAACGGATTAAGCAGGGCGCGGCCATCGTTTGTTCCGAGTGCTACTCCAATGGCTCACAGTGAGAGCGAGTGTAATTCACCTAAGGAGGTTGAATCGATCTCTGGACAACGACACAAAGCAGATCAGCGTGCTACAATCTTGGAAGTAGTTCCAATCGAGAGCTTAGAGTTGAATCCAGGAGCGTTACCGCCTGATTTACCTGTTAAAAGACAAACCATGTTGCTAGAAGATAAAATCGTAGAAGATGATCCTTTTCTAACAGTACCCCAAGTTGAAGTTAAGACTCCGCCAAGGTCAACCATGAGACATACAGTTTACGAGTCCGGCATGGACCAATCTCCAGCGGAACGAGGGGCAAGGAACGGTATAACCACTCCAATGGTTATAATGGAACCAGTGAAAATAGATTTCCCGGAATTAATCTTTGGTGATAACAGCTTCGGTATAGAGCTGACCAAGAACTCTGAGACACTGCAGCAGGAAACAAATCGTCCGAAAATTCACCGAATACCATCCAGAAGATTTAAATTTGGTTTTAATACCGTAGACACTACAAAAGTCGAAAAGCAACAGACACCCATATCCATTGATCGCGCTAGCATTGCTGTGGATTCGCCGGATTCTAAGCCTATTACTGAACCTAGTCGAAAAACAGTCAATGCTGTTGCGGATATTTCACTGGATATAAATATGTTGAACGTCTCCAACAAATCAGCTAAGGATCCTAGAAGGACAGAGTTTCACAGCCAAGATGTGTCTATGGAGAGTCCTGTGAGTGAGAAGCCGTCCCCAAAACGTTCGACAGTTTTCACGAACGACAACATTAACGAATCACATCAATCGTCGCTTGGTGAAGCTCCTCAGTGTCCACGGGCAACAATATTGTTCAATGAAAAGCTGAACCAAACTCGTTTGGAACCTCGTTCAGGGTCGTTGGAAGATCTTAGAAACTACGGACAGTCACGCAGAACAGTACAGCGAATAGAAGCAATGGATTGCGTTTCTTCTGACTCGCCAAGCGTTGTACAGCCAAACAACACACGTCGTACCGAATTGTTGGTGGGTGATATGGATCAGTCTGTGTTGTGCGTGGAAGATGCTCAACCTAACCCAAGATTGACCGCTGTTGCTATCGATAATATGGATGTAATTGCAAGTCACTCACCTCTTGCTGCGGAGGTGCACTTCGAAAACAAAAACCAACGTGAAACCATCAGTTTCAATGCTGACATGGATCAGTCCAGTTGCACAAGGAAGTCATCTTCTTTGGAGCCACCAAGCAACAAACAGAAATCCCGGCAAACCATAATCGGTCGCGAAAGTATGGATCAGACACTGATTGACGGACGCGCAGTAACGGTACAAGAATTCCAACAACCTTCACAACGAACTTCAATTTTCTGCGGGGCTAATATGGACGAGACGTGCGTTGCTACCCTATCCGAATCTCGTCACATTCTACCAGAAGTTCAAAAATCACGCCTAACCAGCCACCGTGAAGCAGCTATGGACGAGACTTGTAAAAGTATTCCTGCCATGCTGGAACAAACCGGACATCAAACACCTGGGTTAAGCAGTTTTGTTGCTGAACACATGAATCAGGAATCGTGCATTGAGCAACAATCTAGACGGACTGTTTTCAAAGAAGTAGACATGGATGAAACAGCGACTAACAAGTGCGATGATATCACTGAAGGAACCATTCGACAATCGCCAACTCCTAAGAACAACGTTAACCACAGTGAAGCACTAATTTCGTTTCCAAAATCACGGCATACAAGCTGTACTTTAGTGAATATTGACGAAACGCTTTCCCCTGCTCGAAAATTGGAGGCGACGCTTCTAGAGCGGTCCAAAATTGGCGAACAACTATCGATGCAAAAATCAAGAAACACTGTACATCAGGAAGCAGCAATGGATGAGACGCGATCTGGGACTCCACTGCAGCCAACACGTGAAAGCATTGTTAGAAAGCCTCCTCTCGTTTACGAAACGATAGATTTAACTACGTCGCCTCAACAAAGCATGAGTCACACGTTGCCGAACAAATCTCGCCTGGCCGTACTCGCAGATCGTGCAATGGATCAAACCATTCCACTGGAAGAACCCTCTCAACCAGTCAAAATCCCCTTACCACCTCGTTATACCACTTACAAACAGGATTCGATGGAGGAAACAGTCGCAGCTAGTTCGGCCGCAGTGGACAATATACCGCAACCATTCCAAGCGCTAAACGAGTTAAAACTACGCAGGACTGTTTCCTGCGAAATGGACATGGACCAGACCATTGGTGCACGAGTTTTGACCGTCGAAATGGATGACAGTGGAGGCGATGAAGACGGTGTTGATGTTGAAGAAGTCACCACCCGCTTGGATGATCGGCGATTTGAGTTCGATGGAACGGGCAACAACGGTAAGTCAAAGTTCAAATCGTACCCTTCATGCTACAACTGATTTGCTGGGATTTCCCATTGACCGTGACCTGTCCTCATTTCGCACAGCGCCTAATACCTTGCGTTTGACGATAAACTTGAATATTTTGCGAATTAGATATGTCGATATTTTTTCTAAATACCGTGTGGTGCCCCTTCACCGCTCACTTTAGAGAAAAATCAAGTTCACATTGTTATAAAATTACTTTTCATAAATATATTCAGCATATTTTTGCACTAGATTGAAGGTCATTATCATAAGAATGTGTCAAAATTGATTTCGAGACAAATAAGTACATGTAAGCAGGGGTTCCAGCCACCGCTTATGTCAGACTTGACCTATTTACGACCCGCGGCCCCATTTTGTGCGGCTCGCAACGAGTTTAGAAAAATTCATTGCATCCGAGTTGTTCTATTCTCGTTCATCTTTGTCAAACGAGAACTTAGAATCATATTTGCGTATTTCAATAACACTTTCTGAGATCAATATGCAACGATTGGTAAAAACTAACAGGAATCAATAAAAAAGTTGTATTTTGAAACATTGCTGATCCCTAGACGCTTGTCATAAAACGGTTGCGGAAACATCTACAGTCAACTCTCCACAACTCGATATAAGTTTTTTCTTTTTTTTTTACACTAAACGTTAAGGAAACTAAGTTGTGTATGCTTTAATTAAGTATATTATTGTATTTTAGCGTTTTTATTATTAACATATCTTGATAGAGCTGGAACTAGGGCGTTACAGCTTTTGTAAACAATGACTTCTCTATATGATTTCTCGAAACTCGAGGCACACCCACGCAAACCAATACAACCAACGGGATGGGGAAGACTTCCCCTACCCGATAGTGACGTTGATTTGAGTTGTTACGCCCTAATTCCAGCTCTATCTAGATATGACAAATCATTATTAACAAACGAGAAGATCAATTACATGTGTTTCATCGAAAGGTCAATTTTTGAGGATATTCACAAGCAAAAAAAAAACAGTTTCAATGAAATGTTGGAACATAATCGGTTAAATCAAAAATATTTTGCAACGTTTTAATGTTCGTTTCGACGTCTTGAGGTGTAAGTTCGAATGGAATATCGGACACTACAGAAACCACAGAAACGTTCATCGATTTACATTCTTCTCCGGCTCCAAGCTTGAGTTTAGACTTTCCATTATGTCGTTATCGGTTATTAGTTCATAGCAAAGAACATTTGTATCTACGTCATAATATTGGGAGAACGTCACATCGTCTCAAAGTTCCGTGCCATGATGTCGATGTCATCGGCGAAGCCAAGAAGCTGGATGGACTTCCTGAAGATCGTGCCATTCGTGTCTATCCCTGCGTGTCTATCAATCGCGTCAGTTTATCCGGAAATCCGTACTCGTGCATAATCTGCCATAGCTGATCTCGATCGATTGTATCGTATGCGGATTTGAAGTCGATGAACAAATGATGTGTGGGCACGTTGTATTCGCGGCATTTCTGCAGAACCTTCCGAATCGCACCCATGAATCCCGCCATAGAATAGAATTTGGGAGAGTACCTTGTAGGCGGCGCTCAGCAGTGTGATCGCGCGCTAGTTGCAGCAATCCAGCTTGTCGCCCTTTTTGTCTGTTGAATCAAATGTAAAACTAATCCTGCTTTCAATGAAATCAATTTGATTACCGATTTTGCATGCATAATGTTTAACTGAATACGGGCCTGGCGTAAATGATTAGCATCCATGCTTTTCACGCTGAAAGACTTGATCTCAAATCTCTCCTCGGTTTAGCCACGAATGACCTAAAATGTGTTTAACAAAACAAATTGTTTATTGTTTATTGTTTATTGAAAAATTCAACTGACAATTATTGTCTAAACGAATAAAACTTAAACTAAATAGTTACGGTCAACGGTACGGAAAAGGCCAAGTAGCCAATGACGAAACACGTCAGCTGATACTTTGAAGTCGAACATATAAAAAAAAGTTGTTGAATTGCCGGCTGGTTGCTCGAATTGGCTCGTGTTGTGTATAATTCCGGCTCCGTGGTTCCAAAAACAGAAAGTCGCGTTGACGAAGAGGCCTCTCAGGGGCATACATATTTAGCTGTGACAGCAGTGTTGGACAGTCAATGTCACCCGTAAGCAGCTTTCCAGCGAACATAACTCTAATGGCTCGATTCCCAGGAGACGGCAACGCTCCTCGTACGGTGGCAAGTTCGTTGGGTCACGCCAGTTGAGGAAACGAAGAGCATATCTCACAAACTTGCGTTGAACGGATTCAATTCTAGTAATCCAGCTAGCATGGAAAGGGCATCAACAACTGAACTAGACGTCACGAAACTCGTTGGCAATTTTAAAAATAAAGCCCATTTGTCGATTCGCTCTGGAGATGATGTCATTGTAGTGGATTCTGAAAGTGAGTGCAGTCCAAGGTAACGCCGAGATCCTTTATGTGCTCTACACGAGCAAGACAGCGTCCGTAGAGAACATAGTCAAACATGGAAATAATGTTACATTTTTCTATGCTTAGACTCAAATTTCTTGAGCACCACTCAGCAAAAATACCTAACATATTCTGGAGATCCCAGCAGTCCGAGAGGCTTTTGATAATTTTGTAGATTTTCGTATCGTCTGCATAGAAAACGCGGCATCCTTATGGTATCAGCAAGGCGACGTCGTTTAAAAAGATCGATAATCAAAGTCCGCATCGTGCTCTCTTGCCGTGCGGATCTATTTGCTTTTTGCTCAAGGAAGTGTTACTACCACCTAAAGCTACAACAAATTTAAACAGCACTTTCAGTGCTCAACCTGTAAAAATTTTCTACCTTGTTCAACTCCTCTTATTCCTCTTCGATCCTTGTTTGGACCCTACCCGAGGTAATCCTTCTTGGATATCGATTTGGAAAATTCCTCTTCGATCCTTCAGATTCTTATAGTAATCTGCTTGGAAGTCGATTTGGATAAAAATTTACTGCCGCCATGGCGCCTAAACGCAAAAGAAAGGGGCAAACTCTTGACCTGATGACATTAATTTGAGTAATCAATTTGATTTGCTCACGGATGATGAGAATGATCCATCATCCAAGAAAAATTCTAGTAAACTTTCCCGGCTTAATGCCAAGAAGGAAAAGATTCCCCCTATTGTGATAACCACTTCCGATTTCCATGCTCTTCGCATGGAACGTTTGAATGTCGTGAAAGTTAAGTTTTCACTACAAATTGGATGTCGGGGTGAATGCCGTGTATTGGCTGAAACCTTGGACGGATTTAAATGTCTTCTCAAGTATCTTACTGAGAAGAAGCACAATTTTTTTACTTACGACACCAAAACTGAACGTGTGTTCAAGGTTGTCATGAAAGGACTGCCCAGTGGTGAATCCCTGGACCAGATCAAAGATGAACTGGCAAAATTACTTGGAGTTGTGCCACTCAAAATGAAAATGAAATCCCTTCCTGGTGATTCGCGCAACGGGATTTCTACTGATTTTTATTTAGTTCACTTCAAGTTTAGTGAACTAAACAACCTTAAGACCTTAGAAAAAGCTAGCCTTATGCTCCATGTCCGAGTGAAGTGGGAACACTTCAGGAAGACTGGAGGAAATTTCCAAAACCTCACTCAGTGCCGTAAGGGAACATGCATAAATGACGTAGCATTTGAGGGGGGAGGTGGGGGTTTCAGAATTTGTGACCGGCCATGTATTGGATATAGCCAAATACGCTACGAGGGGGGGAGGAGGGGTCTAAAATTGATCAAAAATATGCTACGTCATTTATGGATGCTCCCTAAGTGCCAGGGATGGGGTCACGGAACTAAAAATTGCTACATGCCAGCTAAATGCATGAATTGTGGTGATTCCTCTAACGCAAAGGACGACTGTCCTGTGAAGGAAGATCCTAAGAAATTTAAATGTTCAAATTGTGGTGAAAACCACAAATCCAATTTTTGGAAATGTAAGACTCGCAAAGCGATCCTACAATCTCGTTCTAACCGTCAGGTAGGAAACGCTCCACGTTTCCGACCAGGTACAAATTCCTCTGCTGTTAACAACGGTCAGCGAGGAACAAATTCTACATTCGTACCCGTAGGTACAAATATCACCCCTGCTTCAAATGTTTCATCTGTACCTACTCCCCTCGCTGCTAACAATCCCGCATAAACGCGAACCATAAATTGACCTTACCTAAAATGGTTAAAAATTGTTTATAATCCCTGCTAAACTTTAACTGAAATGGTTTTGTAACATCGATTAACTTTATGTGGAATATATCGCGAATTGGTTGCCTGTAATTTACTGATTACCAATTCACGATATATTCCACGTAAAGTTGAGCGATAATACAAAACCATCAATGGACCTTACTGACTACCATAACCATTACCATTAATGTTCTCAAATCATAAGTGAAAACGTTCTTATATAGTTCTCTTTCTGAAAATGTATGGAGAAAACAAGAATTTGGAATGGTAATGGTTCTTAACAACCCATTATTTGTAAGGTCCAGTTCCAGAAAACCATAATACATAAGGTTGAAACTTTATCATTAAACGTTCATGTAAAGTTCCATAACCATTTCAGTTAAAGTTTAGCAGGGATTATAAACAATTTTTAACCATTTTAGGTAAGGTCAATTTATGGTTCGCGTTTATGCGGGATGTTCAGCAAGTTAATGGAGCTACCTATGCTGCTATTGCAGCGGGTAGAAATTAAAATACTAACCAACGTTCTAACGGAAATTTTGACAATTTTGAGTTAGGAAGCATTACTGCCCCTAAAATGGAATTCTTTCTTTATTTGAAACCAATGTTTTTGAAACTTTGGGAGTTTCTGTTGAAACAAAATTTGGACAACTTACGTTTATAGCTGCCTATTTGCCATTCCAATGCGTAAACCAGCAAAAGAATTTTCTCAAGGGTGACCTCCCGAAACTTACCCGTCATAGGTCTAAATTCTTCATTATTGGTGATTTTAATGCAAAACACCGCTCATGGAATAATGCTC